TGCGCCCGGTGCGCACCCGCGACGACAGCACATAGCGCTCGTCGAACTGCCCGTGCGTGATCTGCGGGGGTTAAACCTCGCTTAAACCACACATTAAACACTGCACCTGCTCCTAGGTACGGCCCCGCCGCCGCTGCTGGCAGCCGCTTGTGGGGGCGAGTCAGGCGAGCAAAGAAATTGAGTTTTAACTGGAATAAGGAATAATTTATATGTGTGTATATATATATATATATATATATATGTATGTATGTATATTTATATATTTATATATTTATATATTTTTATATATATATATTTATATATATATATATAGTTAGTTTGTTTGTTTATTTGTTTATTTAATATATTTATTTATTTATTTATTTATTCATTCATTCATTTATTTATTTATCTTTTTATCTCTTATGATTATAATAATATATATAACATATATATTATATATTATATATTATATATTATATCTATTTATATATATTTATATATTATATTGTATATTGTACATTATATATTATATATTGTTATATATATTTATATAATAATTATACATATTATATATTATTTTATATATTTATATAATTATATATATTATACATATTATATATTATTTTATATATTTATATAATCATTATATATTATTTATTATTATATATAATTATATATTAATTGTATATTATAAAATATAAATTGCATACACTTTATATATAATTATTATATATAATTATTACATATAAATAATAACTGAAGGAAATTCGAAGCGAAAAAAATTATTTGTTTATTTTGTATTTATAGATGCTTTTATGTATTGTAAATATCATTATATCTAATATACAAATATATATTTATATATTATAACGTATGTATTGTATATTTTATAAATATATTTATTCTATATAAATAATAACCTAAGGAAATTCGAAATGAAAAAAACTCATTTATTTATTATATATTTATATACAATAAATCTAATTATATATAAATATATATTATATATAAAATATATATTGTATATTTTTATATATATATTTATTCTATATAAATAATAACTTCAGGAAATTCGAAGTGAAAAATATTTATTTACTTTATATAATAAATCAAATTATGTATAATATGTAAATACATATTTTATATATTATAAAATATTTATATTATATATTTTATATATTTTTATTATATATAAACAATAACATAAGGAAATCCAAAGGGGAAAATATTTATTATATATTTTTATATATTTATATATTGTAAATATTTTTATACATGATATATATTATAAAATATATAACATTCTATTACATATAAATAATTACTTAAGGAAACTGAAAGTGAAAAAAAAAATAATAAAAGGATCTAAGAAAAGAGCAATGTGAGTGCTTAATGATTACTAGGTGTGGTTAGGTTATACACCTTCTGCTTGTAGAAGGAATACATAGTCAACAAAAGCCAAGATGAAATGAGCAGACCAAGGAGATACATATAAAATAGACCAGGGTGCATAAATCACTCCTCTTGTCTTAAAGCTTAATTAGAATAAAACCATTTACTGGTTTAATATGGTTTAAATTTTATATGGTTTAATAAAACCACAGAATAAAATCATTTACTGGTGCTAAGTTGTGTTTGTAGGAGGAGACAAGAAACAAGGAGCCTTGTGGAAATGAAGGAACCATGTGTGCAGCTGCAGGTGAGGGACCTGAACTGTGCCCAAGAGGACCAGGAGAGCTGCCAGCAGCACACAGGGGGAAAGTTCAAGCCCAAGGAAGAGGAAGATTTCATTAAAAGGACCCCAGACCCATTTCAAAAGAAAGACTGAGCATGCCCAGAGGGGCGTGGAGCTCATTACCATACGAAATGAGAGCAGGCAGTCAGGCAATGAATATGTGTAATTATGTGTAATCCTATCCATATGTAATACTTTGGAAATAAATAGAGAATGAGGGGCAGTGGGGAACGCACACGACCTGGGGAGAGGACTCCATGTGCCACCCTGCTGTAATAAACATTTCCTCCCTAATCTGAAATACTTAGAGAGTCCTCTGTCTGTGATTTTACTGCTTCCCCAGCTTTTAAACTGCTTTTAGGTATGATAAAATGTGTAATCACTTGTAAAAGGAGAAGCAAGGCTTTCAGGAGGTGCAAGCGGGCTTCAGCAAGGTGAACTTTAAGATATGTTTGATATTGCAAAATGTTTCTCCAAGATAGCATGAGCAGAGAAGTGAAAACTATAAAAAGAGGAGTACCAAGCTCAAAGTAGCATCAGCAGACCGCCCTAGACTGCTGACATCTGCAAATTAGTGAATTGTGCAAACACTGCAAAAATCTGCAGCGAGATTGTGGCTAAGGAGCTCAGAATAAATCTATGAGGTCATCTATCTGTAACAGCATGGGCGTGGGAATGAGATGGGCTTTAGGATCCCTGCCAGCCCAGCCCAGCCCAGCCCATTTTGTGATGGGTCTGTGACCTGTAAGCTCATGAGCAGACCCACAGTGCCCACTGAGGCTGTGTCCCTAATGTTTGGTACAGCTGGGGCTGATTCCCTGCTGAGAACAAGGGCTGCACCTGGCAGGGCCATGACTGGCACACCATTTTCTTTAAACAGAAAAAAAATTAGGTCTTCCCAGCTGGACCAAGGGAAATGAAAGTAATGGTGCTTACAGCATCATCACTGGAATAAGCAGCTCAGAGCATTCTTGGTGTCATTGCTCTGTTTCAGTCCTACCTTGGATGCATCCAGGTCCGTGTGGTGTCTCATTGTCCGTGGGTCGTAGCCATTATGTCTGGCCTTAATGACAGGGTCAAAAATCTCAGCAAACACCTGTGGGGTCAGGAGAGTCTAGAGAGAGTCTGCAGAACCACAGAGACACATCCCCACAGCAGCTCCAGGCAGAAGCTGGGCTTTGGGGTGTATTGCCCACCAGAACCGACCCCCAGAGCCCCCCAGCGCGTGGTTGTAGGCCATGCAGGAGCACCCTGAGCCCTCCCTGCTGTGCTCCCTGCCCTGGTTAGAGCCACCTGGCTCAGGTGTGCTGCACATCTGCACAGGCACACCAAACCTGAGCCAGGCGTGGCAGGTGTGCCAGCCCACCCTCCCTGGGACACCCTGGGGAGGAACAGGCACCACTGCACCAACCAGACCTCGGGGTCAACAGCTGTGAGGTCTTTCTCTTGTTTTCCTCTTCTCCCTGCAGAGCTAAATGATCTGTCCACCCTAATGCTGTTTGTCTTCAGCTTTCCTCACGGTCCACAGGCTGTGTCTCAGTGATGTCTGGCACTGCCCAGGAGACATTTCTGCCTCTGCTGCCTCACAATGTGATTTCCACATTAGGCTGGCTTGGCGTGTCTCGGAGTGGGATCATTTTTCCATGAATTAGGTTTGGTTGCAGGCAGGAGGGCACTGCTGGAGGCGGGTACCAGCTGCTGCCGAGCAGGTACATTTCATTACCTGCCACTGCAGCACAGGGGACACCTGTGGCAATGCCACGTCTTCCCGCTTTTCCTGACCTGGAGAAGCAGGGAGAACACCAGCCTGCCCCCGATGTACCCTGCTGGAGTCTGAGACACACAGAGTGTGTGCCCTTGTCTCTGGTGCCTGGCTCTGAGATCCAGGAGAACACTGAATTTCATACAACATGAACTTTGTGGGCATGTTTTCATGAAAACAAATGTTGAAGTTAGAAAAGCTAAAAGTGTGTATAGATTGTAGAGTTTTCTTAAGTCACTGGGTGAAAAAGTTAGAGTTTAAACCTGTTTAGAGAGCAGAAGACAAAATGGAAGATTTAGAGTGGTGTCTCTTTTCCTTCTTCTTCATTTTCTTGTCATAGAAGTTTTTAGGTAGTAGGAGGTGATTGCATAAAAAATGTTGCAGTGCAGCACACAGGTGAAGGGTCATTGGGTCATTAAGAAAAATAATATACGTGTCTATTGTTAATTGGATAAGAGTAAGTATAAAGATAAAAAGGCTGCGCAGTTCAGGGCCTTTTTGCAAAGCCAAAGTGAGCTAAAAAGAGCAGGATGAATTGAACTTGAGCAGAAGTCTAGAAAAGTCTGCCAAGTTTTGTGATAACATCCTAATAAACACGAGAAACAGATCCTCACGAGCTTTGGAGTTTTCTTCAAACCCGGAGAACTGAGATAAGCAGGACTCCCCACGAGGGAGGATCCCAGAGGAGCTCAGCTCAGAGAAGCTGAGCAATCCAGGTGTGAAGAGAAGTGCAGAAGAAGTGCAGCAGAATCAGAGAAAAACAGGTTAAAAAGTCACAGTACCCTCTGGGACACAACTTGTCTGAGGAACACGCTCCCTGTTGGGAATCTGTTTCCACTGATGGGAGCACCACGAGCGCAGGCCCGGCCAGGCCCGTGTGCCCTCTTACCTCGTAGGACTCCTCGTCCCCGGCCACCATGCCCACCGTCTTGATGAAGGGGTGGCCAGGGTTGTCCACCCCGGTCTGGATGCACTGGTCCAGGGTGTAGCCGTTGGGGGTCATCTTGTCCCGGAGGCGGGAGTAGATGCCCGGGGTCAGGCACTCGGCCATGCAGTTGTTGTGCTTGCGCAGGTCGGGGTAGTCAGCGCTGTGGGGACAGGAACCCGAGGCATAACTGTGTGCCCTGGACAGCCATCCCCCACTCTGTGGGAAGATAAAGGTGTAATTCCCCTCGGGCTGCGTGCTGTGCTGCCCCTCAGGAGGGAGAGAAGGTGCTGGTGCTGAGCACAGCCCGCGTTGTGCTGCGCTTTGGGCTGTGCTCGGGGCCGGCAGGGAAATGGGGCCAAAGGGACCCAAACGGGCACTGACCCCACTGAGACATCTCAGTGGGCAGGGGAGAGCCCCAGCTCCGGTTTGTGCAGCTGGACACAGATTGGAGTCTGGATGAAGAAGGGCTCTGTAGGTGCTCTCACAGCTTGGTGGCACCAGAGGGGCTGTCTGCCCTGCCAGCTGTGTCTGAAGTACCAGGGCTGGGGCTGGTGGCACTGCTGTCTGCAGGAGGCAGCAGGCTGTGTGGGGACAGGCAAAATAAAGATGTGAGGCTTTGGCAAGGGATTTTTCAACTCTGTCAGTCCTCAGCTCTCTTGTACTCGTCGTGGTTTGCTTTATCTGATATTTCTCTAAGAATGTATTTTAGCTAGGATTGTATAAATTAAATAATAAAATGAGTCTGTCAGAGCCTGATCCACATTACCTTTGGCAAAGTCAGGGGAAAAGGCCTGTAATTAATTTCTAACCATCAGCCAGTCAGTTTTTACCAGAATTAGGAGTATTTCCAGTACAGCAGTAATACAGGAGATTATTACTGCTTGCATGGAGGAGACACTTTCACGTGGGTCTGCAAAGCTGTTGGTCAGTGATGAGTTAAATGTGATGATATAAATATAATGATGTACTACTAAACCTGAGGCATATATATGGCTTGCTGTTGTTCAGCAGTGTTGGTTTTGGTTGGTTTGGGGGCATTTTTTGAGAGCTGATATCTCACTGATGCCTCGGGATTTTAGTTTTGTTATGTTTCAGCTCCTGCAGTGCACTGGTGCACAGCTCTGAGCTGCATGCAGAGTGTCAGCCACTGTCCTCACACTTTGGTCACACACAACAATCCCTCTGGGCCCGGAGCTCAAGGACACCCCACAGCCTCAGGCCCCAAAAGCACAAACAAAAGTGACTTGGGGACAGCAAACTGGGGCTAAATGACTTCATTAGCTGAAGCTGTAATTGCAGGGTTAACTCTGAGATGTGAATGGACCCAAGTTAGAACTGTGTGAAACACTTGTGACCATTGTCCAGCTTGGTGTAGGCCCTGGGAGGCTCCTGCCAGCCCAAGGTGCAGCTACTGAAGGCCTTTAATAAATAAACACTTTATTCTCTCAGTCTTGTCTGGCCTCTGGTGTAGGTGATGCTCCAAGCATCACCAACCCATCCCATGGATCCCATCCCCTGGATCCCATCCCATCCCCTGGATCCCATCCCCTGGATCCCATCCCATCCCCTGGATCCCATCCCCTGGATCCCATCCCCTGGATCCCATCCCATCCCATCGCATCCCATCCCATGGATCCCATCCCAGCCCTGGCAGGCTGGAGCAGACCTGGGGGTGCTGGAGATGCCGGAGCCCAGCCCAGGTGTGCAGCTGTGGTGACACCACTCCCTCCCCAGCTGCCATGTGCTCACCTGGGCGGGAAGAGCTTCCTCTTCTCCTGCACGGCGGCGCTGACGTTGTGCTGGCCCAGCAGGTAGCCCGTGGCCAGCACCCCCGTGCCCGCGGCGGCGAACAGCGCGGGGGCTGCGCGCCCGGCCAGGAGACGGCAGAAGGTGCCAGCCATTCCTCTCTGCAAGGAGCACAGCCAGGGTCAGCTCTGCAGGAACAGCTCCCTGCTGGCTGGCCCTCACTCTGATAGATCCCCTTTCAACAATTATTTCAATATCAATTATTACTGTGAATGTGTATATATTAATAGATATAGTCATAATATTACAATATATATAATATAGCATGACATAACATAACACAATACAATACAATATAATGTAGTGTAATGTAAGATAAAGTATATTTCATATATAATATATATTTTGTATATATAATATATATTTGATGTATCTTACTACTATATAATGGTATATAATATATTATATACTACATAATATACTAGTGTTAGTATAATATATAGTAGTATTAATACTATATATAGTAGTATATATAGTATATATAGTATATATATTATACTACTATATAGTAGCAATACTATAATTTAATAATTAATCGTAATTAATAATTAATAATATATAATAATATATATAGTATTAATACTATACTAGTATTAATGTTAGTATAGTTCATAATTACTTTATTAACTACTTTCAGTGTAGCATAATTTGTTAATAACCCATTTGATGAGTGGGTTATATATTTATATATATATTTTAGTGTGATAAATATATCTGTTTATTTCTATTTTTACTTAAAGATAAATATTAATATAAAATATAAATATTAATATAAAAATAAATAAAATATAAAAATATAACAGTTATAATTTTTTAATTTTATATATTTTATATTTATAAATAAATATAATTTACAAATGGATAATAAAATAATATATAAGTAAAATGCTATCTATTTTAAAATAAAACCATGCAATATACATATTTATATTTAAAAATTGCTGTTTAGGCTCTCTCAGAGTATCAGAGTAGAGGCTCTCTGCTGTGTATGATGACATTAACTTTGCAGACCTCGCTAATGCCTTTATTTGTGTGGCTGACTGACAGTGGTGATAATAACTCTGATAATGTTGTGGAAGAGCTGATGTTGATTTAATGCACTGGTGGAGTATCTTATCTGTAGGGTAACACTGAAAAGAAGCAGGTAAATAAACTCTGGTAGAAGGAATGCAAAGAGGAATTCAGCCCTGAGCCTGTCAAGAAGTGTCAAAGCACAGAGCAGGGGCCTTGTGAGGATGTAAAACCGAGCAAAAGAATTCCCAGCACATGTAAACCCCAAGGGATGTTTGATTATGTGCAATCCTCATCAAGATGCATTTGACCAATACCACGGAAGGGTAGATAAGAGGAATTGTTAGAGTGAACCTCTGGCAGTTTAGCAGCACCCAGCAGTGTAAAAGTCCCTTTTATCCCATGTAGGAGTGGATTTATCCACTCTGGATCAATGTGGACAGTGTCTGAGGCCTAAGGCTGGCCGAGGATCTGGCATTTCTCTGGGAGTCTGAAGGAGGCAGCCCGGGATTTTCCTTCCAAGAATGAAGTTTGGGTTAGGATTGCTGAGTTCCTTAGCAAGATACTGTCCAAATAAAGGACAATTCTCTGAATCTAAATTCCAATCTGTGTAATTGGCTGAGGCTTTTTTTTCAGACTGGGCTCTGGTAGATCACCTCTGGGAAATGAGCATGGAAGATTTACCAAAAACTGTGGAAGATTTACCATTTCTTCCAGGCTCTGCTGTTTCAGTTGCTTTTCCAAAAGCTTTTTCCAGAGTGATTTATTTATTTATTTATTTATTTCTTGCAATCTCTTCACCATCCTTTTGGAGGTTATACTAAACTCCTCGAAGCATTTGATTTTATTTTTAGTGAGCAAAATTTTAGTGGGTAAATTCCCAGCATTCCCATTTGGAGTCATAAGTTTCATGTCCTCTATTGTGCTTCAGCAATTTTTTACCAGAATCTTTTCCCTCTGCCTCCTCCATGCCTTTGAAACACAACACACAGTTAATATAATGTTACTTTCAGAGACAGGTGCTGGCTGACAGAAATTTTGGTATTTTTTCACTGAAAGATCCCCCCTGAATCGATGAATTCATTTGGGTGAGCTGCAGGACGGGCTCTTGTGACTGCAGCAGGATTTCTCCCTCCCAAAATGCTATGTTTGACTGTAAATAAACATCAAGTCAGAGGTTTCTGATGGAGATTTTCCTGATGATTCCGTTTCTGTGTTTTTAGCAGATGGTTCTTGTGCCTTTTCACTGTATAGCACCCTCATCCTACACTCTGGAAATATTTCCTTCTGACTAATCTGCTCAGAACTATTGTTGTCACACCTTAGTGTCTGTGAAACACCATATGTATTTTCACAACAGCTCTGGGTATTTATAGTTTGCGTCACCATCCTAAGGAGCTGGCTGACAGTCAAAAACCTGTCCTGAAAACCACCAGACACATCACAATCCCACTGCAGAGGATGATATTATGATTTAAACAGCCCCCAGCACTCACCAGCACCCTCTCCAGCGAGGAATTTTTGGGAGCTGCGGAGCCCTGTGTGGTTCACGGGACAAAACTGACCTGTACGTGTGATTAAAGTGGAGGAATCACCTGCAGGGTGTGCTTAGGAAGGATTCTGGGCACAGCAGGGTAACTGTGGCAGGGGATGCCCAGGGCAGGGGGATTCTGTGTCTGTCTGTCCACGTCCCCGTGTCTGGATGTGCCTCGCTGGGTTTCACCCCCAGCACAGCTTTGTCACACCAGCCTTGCAATGTCCCAGAGCAAAGCGTTTTCCCTCTGTGTCCCAGGGCCCTCTGGCACTGCTGGGTCACAGAAAAGCCTCTGCTTTACCTGACAGACACTTCTCTGGCAGCTCCCAGAAGCCTCCCACTCAGGAGACGCCACAGACTGCGCAGGTTGTCTACCTAAAAAAACAGAAACCAGAGTAAAACAGGGGTTTTCTACTCTCTTTTCTTAAAAAAAACCCCACAGTGCTCAGCTACATGTCTCTTCTTACGGTGGCAGGTGTGATGGCAGCACAGAATTGTTATCATTTGTGTCTGCCTAGTTCCAGGGGCTAGGGGAAGATGAAATTGAGGAGAAGATAAGGGAGTGTGATCCTTCCTGGCTCCGGGCTCAGTCTCGGCTTTGGCCACACGGGTGGGCTCTAGTCCCAGGTATGAATGTGCTGCAGAGCCACAAAAACAGCAGGAGCAGGAAAAAACACAGTGTACAGCTGGGCAGAAATAAAAGTTCTTACAAAATGAGGGCACAAATTGAAAAAGAAACTTCATTTGATGAGAAACAATGTCATCTGGGATGGGAGGCCAATTTTTTCCCTTCAAAAGATTGCATGATTTTTAAGTACTGCATTGCCTCAAAACAAGCCTCTTAAAAGATTCATTTGGAAGGAGTCCGAATGCAAAGGCCCCAGACTAAGGAAAGATCCTCATCAAAGCTTTTTGTCAAGTCTGACCTCAAACCATTAATATATTCAGCTCTTCTTTCCCCACAGAAATTGCCAGCCTGCCTCTGCAGTAGGTTTGTTCCATCATTACCTCTGATTAAAGGAGTGTGTTTGTCCTAGGAGCACTTTACCAGAATTACTCTGCTGTGATTCAGGATTCAGCACAGAACATCTTTAAGCCTCCACTGCAAGGATTTTGCTTTCATCAGGGTAATTTAACCATGGCACAGCCTAAAAACTGCAAGGGCAGGTTTTCCTCCCGTAGGAGTTTCCTGAGTGTCTTCCCTTGTGCCCACCATAGAAAACCCATTTTCTTGTGAGTGTCTCGGTGCAGCTGGGAGTGGGGATGGACTCTGCCTCACAAACAGAATATTTTGTGAGGGTCTAGTTTCTACCCCTTGGGAAGGAATGGAGTGTTTGCCTGAGCTGCCCAGGTGTGCTGGAAGAACTTCTGTTTTGTGTTCAAAGCCATTTAGAGACAGCATGGTCTGGGAAAGAGAAATAAATTGTAAGGATTAATCAGCCCGAGGTAAAAAAAAAAACCCAGTTCCTGGCCTGCACATCTGTTCAGTTTGAATCAATGGCCTGTGATGGGGGCTGTCTTGCAACTCTATCAGCCCCATCAAGGTTTTTTTGCTATTACTTGAATTTTCTCTTTAAACTGGAATATCTCCTCATGGGCAAAGGAGTTTTCTCTTCTGCTGTGGAATTCCGAAGGCACTGACAAAAAATTCTTAGAGGGTTCTTGATTATGATTTATTGATTTCTACCTAAATTTTTATCCGTGGTAAGTGGCTCATTAATTCCATAATATTAACTTCCGTAAGTTTCAGGTTCTTTCAGTCCACCCCAAGCTACCTGAGAATTTGGCTTTATTTTAGACAGGACTAGCTGCCTCTAAACTCACACTGACAATCATTATCCTGTCATTTGTCCAAGAGAGATCTGATTTCTGTGTGATTAGACACAACACCCTTTTTGGGTGTAAACCTTAACAGCTTCATTTTTGAGACTTTTAACAGGACTTCCTGGTGCAAGATCTCAGTCTTGTGTCACTCTGGCAATGCCCTGCAGCAATAGAACTCTTTCTCCAAAATGTAATGGGTCAGCACACTGAGAGGCAGCTCCTCCATCAGCACCTTAATGATGCAGATATTCTGGCACGTTGTGTAAGAAATGCTGAGAGATGTGTCCCATCTGGGCTGCCCTGCTCTGCTCTGTCCGTGCTCCTGTCCTGGAGGGAGGCTCAGGTTCCGTGTCCCAGCCCACGTTCTGCACCAGGGCTGTTTTCTACAGGTGATTCCACCTGCAGCCAGGGCTGGCTTTGGGTTTTCCTCCTACTCCTCAAGCGTACTGCCGGGTGTTTGAGGGTCTGTGAGCTTGACAGAATGTCCCCACGACTTGCCTTGTGTGTTTCCCCTGGTAGCTGTCCCTCAGTGCTGCTCAGGATGTCTCTGTGCCCCTGGCCAGCCCAGGGGATGGGGCACAGCTCGGTGCTGGGCTGTCACAAAGTCCTGCCCAGCCTCACCCAGGGAAGGCACAAGTGCTGCTGCACCAGGAGCAGCCTCCCTGAGCCAGGCTCCCTCCAGCACGAGGGAGTTCCTCCCAGTTTGGGTTATTTCCACAGGAATCCCCCCATGGGGCTGCAGCAGGTGACCTCCAGTGCCAGCCCAGGGCTCCTCCTTCACCCTCCTCATCCTCACCCCCTGGGCTCCAGGAAGGGCGAGCCAGCGTGGATCCAAGCCAGCCCTGCCTTTCCCAGGGCAGAATTCCCACATGCCATGGCCAGGGAGCCAGCACGTGTCCAAAAAGGTCACAGTCCTGGAGGTCACAGCCCTTCTGGCTCTGCTGGGCTACCTGTGACACTGCAGGTCACTGCCACCCTGCCAGGACTGCACCTGGGCTCTCACACCTTTACATGCAGGTGTGGTCTCATCTCTGCCACCTGCCAGGCACAAAAGGTGGACACAAAGGCCAGCACCAAGGCTTGGAAGAAGCCACTGCAGCAAATCTGGTGCTGGCTGAAGAACAGCCCAAAGCATTGCAGCTGCCACTTCTGCAGGTGGAGGGGCTCTTTGTGACCACAGCTTGAACCCCAGGAACTCCACAACCCCTTCTAATATTGAAAAAAAAATAATAAAAAAGAATAAAAAAGAAGAAAGATATATCATATTATAATATGATATATTATTATATATATAATAATATATACTATTTATATATACTATATATATATATATATATAAGTGTTTTTCCTGCTAATTCCTCACTTTGTTGAACCTCTTCTAAATGGGAAGTTTCCAGCTCCATCTTTCCCTGGATGCTTTTAAACAGAGGTATTGGTTATCCAATATTTCACACCTGCCTGGAGGGCAGGCAAGTGCCGGGGTTACAGTGACATTTCTAGAAATAGAGGCAGATTAAATATTTGAGCCGTGTCATGGGTGGTATTAATTGCCACCCCATGTGATCCTGAGTGACATTTGGGAGGAATGGCAGAGTCACAGCTAAAGTTCAGCTCCACAGGGGATGTGTGTGCACGTCTTACCCCACAAAGCTCTTTAGCCAGAGGATCCCTGTGCTGAGCTGGACCCTCACGTGGTGCAGGGACAGGGAGCCTGGCCTTTTAGATTTGAGAAGTAATTCCTCTAAGCCATCCTTAGCTCCAGCTAAAGCCTACAGAGGGCAGTGGAAAGTTTTCCCCGCCCGCCTGTGGAAGGTTCTGGAGCCTCAGAAACATCTGCAGCGGCTGTCATGAGTCACTGCTCGCCTCAGAGGCCATTTTTAGACACCCAGAAATCAGTTTACATCTCCCTTGGCTTGCTGCATCACCCTCCAGCTCAGAGAGTAAGACACACATTGAAACATCCAGCCCCACAAAGCAATACTGGTGATTTTTTGTTTCCAGTTTCTCAGCATCACTCAGAGCCCTTTGACTCATCTGAGTTTTCTGAGATACAGCCTCCAATGTGCAGGAACAGCATCAAGTGCAGACATCATCCTGGCAGTGCCTTAATCACAGCATGGAACATCTCTAACACAGAATACCAACCACATTTCAGGGTCTTCCTCCTCGTAATTCCAGAGGGCAGCCAATGGTTATAAAAACTCACTAATTTGGGGAGAGGGGAGAAAGGATAAAAAAAAAAAAGGATAAAATTCCAAGCTATGAACCTGTGACCAGATTCGTGTGAGTAGAGAAGGCATGGTAACTCTTCATAGATCAGACCACAACCCCTTGGTACCACCATGATTTTTGGTTTCTGAAGCTGAAGGTCTGGCTGGTCAGACCCGACCAGGTGAGACCCAGACGCCCAAATTCTCCTGCCAAAGCCCAGCCAAGGTGCAGGCACCGCTCACCCTTCTGAGCCAATCTGGTGCCATTTTGCAGTATAAACCTCTCATCTTCGCAGTGCAGAGAGCTACAATCAAAACCACAAAAAACTCATGTAATAGGAGACATTTTCTCTGACCTTGCCACACATCTGCAAAGACTCTTATCTTTCTCTGACTGAAATTGTTACTTAAGGGTCAGCATTAATGTCGGGACTTTATGATCCTAGAGGTCTTTTTCAAACCTTAATAATCCTGTGATCCCATTATTTGAAGCAGCTGCACAGCGGGGGCTGGCACATACTTCCCTGCACCAAGCACTTACATGAGTCAATAAATTATAACCAAATTAACACCACCACCCTGTGGTGCCTTGAATCCGCTTTTAATAACCCTTCCATTTGAAATGCTAGGGTTTGAGGCTGGAAAAGCAATATAATTGTAGTCACATTACCTTGGAGCTGGAGGTAGGGACGTCCTGCTGCCCGCAGCGAGCCCAGAGTGTAAAGGCAGCGGGAGGCTGGGCACTGACAGCAGCCCTGGAAACCTGAGACGGCCAAAAGGAGGTGAGGGCAACAAAAATAATCCTGCTGCAGGGGCCAATCCTGCCCTGCTGGGTTACATCAGCGGCATTTGCCCGCACAAGGGTGCCCTTGCCCAGCAGGATGTGGCAGCAGCATCTCCGGCCAGGACAGACGGACACGGCCGGACAGACGGACACGGCCGGACAGACGGACACGGCCGGACACACGGACAGGCTGGTCCTGCCTGGGCAGCTCCAGAGAGAGCCCCGAGCAGGGCAGTGCCACAGCTGCTCACACCAGGCTGGGAGCGGGGCAGGAGCTGAGATCACAGAGAGATTTTGGGGCTTTTCGCCCCCTCCCCTTCACTTCTTAATTAATGTGACATTAATTCTTGGCCTCTCGTGAGGCAGAGGGGCCCAGAAACATCCAATGGCCTCTGAGGCCTCCCATCTGGAATTACCATTATTGCATTAGTCAGTTTTATTCAGAGTTGCTGTATCTCAGTGAATGACAGAGATAATACACCATGGTTTTGGAAGGGTGAAAGAATAATCCATTTCATTTACCTGTTCTGCTCCAGAGCTGAACATGTGTCAAGGCTGACAGAGGAGCACAGAGACCAGCACTGTGCAGCATTTAAAAATACAAGACTTAGAAGTCCTTTTCCCTTTGTACATTTATTGTTCTCTTAATTTTACATGTCAGTTTCCTAAACCCACACTTCAGAATTTTGAAACTTTACAAAACACGGACATCTCTCCCCCAAAATGTCATGCCCATTTTTGGATAATGGGAGCCATGCACACCCAATAATTAAAACCAAAAGAGCCATTCAGGATCAGTGCATCTAGAAACAGCATCTCAAGCACACCAGTTCTTTTACCAACCCAACACTGTGCTCCTGTCGGGTTGATAAAGAAAAAAAAACAACGGTGGCTCTTTCGAGGTGAAATGAGTAAGGAAACATGGGCACAGCAAATCCATGGCTCGTGATGGAGGCACACAGCTACTTTTAACCTTTTTACCTTTTTTTTTTGTAGAGGCCTTGAACAGACCAGGACTTCCCCTGGAAGCAGGTGATGCCATCGAGTGCCTGGCTGGATTATGTTCCAGCTATTTTCCAGCTGAGAGTCGGGGAGAACAGAAGATGCAAACAAACCCCAGACTGTGCATTTATAGCACAAACCCCTGGAAAAACATTGTTAGCAAGTTCCCTAATGATTTCTGAAGAACACATCATTAATACTTAAGAAACAGCTCGGCTTTGCTGCTGGACTGTGGTCTGTTTTGTGGGAAACTCAGCTACTGAAGCAGTTGGCATGCCAAGGATCATCCATAAATAATGGCCTATTTCCATCTCCAGTGTAATTGTCTAACAACTGAAATGCTGCTGTGGTTTCAGTGCTCGTGCTGGGGAGGCAGCAGCAGTGTTAATTAACTGAGTGTTAATCCAGCTGCAGCTCACATCAATCCCTCTGCACAGGGGCTGCAGCAGCTGGAGTTTGCTGGGCACAGGAGTTACCTGTAAGGGCCAGACAAAGCTCCTTGTGCTTGGTGGAAGGCCCTTTCTAATTGCCATAATTAGAATAAAATGTGTTTGGGGCCAGGTTTCCGTGTGCTGGAGGTGATTTTTAGCAGTGGGAGGGAAGGGATGAGCCCAGCTGTTGTCACAAACTCTGTGTGTGGAACTGGGGGCTGCAGGGGCTGTGTTTGGCCTCTTTGCAAGGGCAAGGATCAGTGTCTCTCCTGCTGCTGAAGTCAGAGCTCTGCTAAATTAGAGCAGCAAAGAGGCACTGGACACGATGTCCTCCAGCACTGGAGGCTGGGCTGTCCCCTGGTGTGGTGGCAGCTCCTGGTTTTCCAGTTCCATGGGTCTGCAATTCCTGGTATTCAGAATAAGGCAGAGAAGCTCACACAGCTGATACCCAGGGGTTACCCTGACCTCTCACTGAGAATTCCTCATGGCTGTGGATGCTCAGTATCCCCTTACACAGCCACCGAGCCCTCGGGCTGGGGAAAAATCCCTTTTTGAGGGGATCCAACCCCCACAGGGGCTGGGGAGGCAAATCCAGCCCTTGGTGCCAGTCAGGGGCACACGCTGGCCAAGGGGACCAGCAGGCACAGAGCAGCCAGGCCACACTTGCACTTCCTCCAGGGAGGGGCTCCTGGAGGTGCTAATGCATCTCCACCAAATAAAGAGCTCAACGAGGCCCAACCAACCTTTCAAAAATAACCCCAGCTATTTTTAAGGTAATAAAGTTGCTCTTCACAGGACATCCACTACAAAGTAGAGGAAAGGCTGTCTATAATTAGCAGTGTGTTTCCTGGCTAAAGGGAGGAGAAAAAGTTTTCCTACATATGGAAGTGACCCTTTGGAAAAGCAGGAATCTCCAAAATCAAAAAAGTGGTCCTTTTTTACCCCCTTTTTTTTTATTTTTTTTTATTTTTCCCAGCTGCATTGCAGACACAAGTGAATCAGTTCTGAGATGGTGAGTGTCAGGGGGTTCAACCTGTAATGACCAGAAAACCACAGCTGACAGGGTATCACAAGAACCACAGAATTCAGGGTATCCTAAACTCTGGACACCTCTCTTTCCATCCTGGTGAGCCAGCATTTCTTTGTTGTGGAAACCTGGGGAGGAATGGCTGGAGCAGGACAAAGGTGCTCTTTTTTCAGATGGTTTTCCTGTTGCACATGAAATATTGGCAGCAAACAAAATTGAATAAACAAATTGTTGCTATTTCAACTGGAATATCAGGTACTGATAAGACTTTGTGTCTTCTCTGTCTGGAAGAGTTCTGGGTTTGCCCTGCATGAAAGATACCAGGGATCTAGATGGGATTTGTACATATTGTCCCCAGTCCTATACACACAGACCTTTCAGGAAGGGTGGAGTGAGAGAAAACAACCTTTTAGCAACAATTCTGTTGGCGTTTCTGGCCCATCCACCCAACCCAGAGTGTGGCACAGTGGAGGTGCCACCTCTGAGAAAACAAACTCAAGGTGATTTCTGCTGCCCCAGCTTCACCAACCCCCGTGCACAGAGTAGTGCCCAGCAGCCAGGAGCTGGAACAAGCACCAGTCAGTGTTTCAGTCCTCTTTGAAGTTGTAAATTTCAAGCAAAAATCTGGTCTTCACAACTTTTACTTCTTTTAGGCGGTAGAGAAGTAGGGCCAGAATACTGGAATGTAATTTTTAAGGCATAATTCAGCCTTCACAATTCTTATTCATTATCTTTGCATGATCAGTCAAGACTAATTTCTTCACAGAGCTGAGGATTTTGAACAGCCTGTAAATCACGAGCTTCCCCTGCTTCCTTTGTGGTCAGCACTGAAGAGAGTTGGGCGCTCTCAGATTTATTTGGAGATGCCAGGGAATGGCTGCCAGTGGCAGAGGGCAGGGCTGGATGGGATCTTGGGCAGCAATTGTTCCCTGGCAGGGTGGGCAGGCCCTGGCACAGGGTGCCCAGAGCAGCTGGGGCTGCCCCTGGATCCCTGGCAGTGCCCAAGGCCAGGCTGGACATTGGGGCTGGCAGCTCCTGGGACACTGGGAGCTGGCCCTGCCGTGCCTGGGGTGGGATGGGACAGACTTTCAGGTCCCTCCCAACCCAAATCAGTGTGTGATCCTACAATGATGGCCTCAGAATAAAGATGTAGACCAGCCAACTGCTTGGCATAAATAAAATTAATGGTTTAAAGTGTTGGGAAAACAACTTGAAATTAAATTGTCCTGCAGCACTTTTAAACAGAGCTGCTTGGGAAGTATTATAATTAATTTTTTTTCTTCCATTGACAGTAGCTGACAACTTCAAGGGTAAGTTGCTCTTTCAGTTAATTTCAGTTTTTATGTGAAACACCGAAAGTGCAAGCAGAATGGAGAAGATGTGGCCACAAGGTCACAAAGTACTGAATAGAAGCTGATTTTATTATGTCACTTGTTGTATCTCCTTCTTACATAGTCCTGCTGTGCCACTGCTGTTTACTTATTTAAAATGTTAATTCCTGAAGCAAATTTAAGAGGAATCTTTCTGTTTTCATGAAACTACAGAGTTCAACACAGAAAAGCTGTAACCAGTGATTAAAGCACGTAACACCAGCTGGAGACCTGGTTTTGTGTTCCCAACCTCTGTCAACTATTTTTCTTCAATTTGCAGCTCATTTCATCTCCCTGAGACTCGTGTTCCTATCACAAGGGGAGGGCCACGACCTACTTACAGATCACTGTGTTTCCTGCTTTTTCCTGTGTATAAAATGTGCCTTTACTGTTCTTTTAAATCTCAGTGTCCTGTCTCAGGGCAGGACACCAGCCCAGAGAACGCAAGGGGTGTGCAGACACCAGTCCAAACCCAGTATCAGATATTGCCAGTGATGCCCGTGGCAGCTGCAGTGCATCATGAGTGAAAAAGAAGGGTAAATGCATTAATTCAAAACATTCTTTCCCAGTGCAGACCTTAGATTTTCCCCTGTTGTTTTGTTTTTCTGGTTTTTTTTCTTTAATGACTCGCTTTTCTAAGAGACTCGGTAATTCAGAGGGAGTAGATTGAATTATTCATGATGGGGTGGGGGGGGGAGGTAAAAAAATAAATTCCAGTGAGGACTCTTGAAATTCGGGAAAGAAAAGAATGTTTATTAGCACACAGGCACACAACACCTTGCCTGGTATGCCTTACTAACAATACAAAGCAATAACCTCAGGTCAAAAGAGAAGTTGCAATACATGCAGAAACATCTGGATTGTGCACTAGGTAACACGTTCAATAAAGGTACATCTGTCAAATAAACACACATCTACTGCCCTAGGTAACAGAACTTCAGAGACTACCTCAGGAGTAAAGGTACAACAGAACAACCATCACTGAGCAGCATTTTGGACATGAAGCATCCTAGACAGAGACATTTGACCTTTGGAGGCAAAAACTGTAACAGGCAAATAGCTGAGAGCCAGATCCCCAAAGACTTATGAAAAGCTCTCGGTGAAGCCTAAGGTATTATCAGAATGAGGTCTGAAGGGTTTTGCCCTTGGTGAGTAAAAGAATGAGAGGGTAAAAATGTCTCGGTTTTAAATCATCAAGGTTTAATGTTGTTGCTAGGAGTGAAAG